TGGAAAAGGAAAAGGAAAGGGGCCGGGGAGGGTTCAGCGGTACTCCTCTGTGGCCGTGAACCCTCCCCAAACATGGACAGAGCCTGCTGATGGCTTTGGGGCTCACTACAAGCGGAGGCCGAATTCCGTTGCCCCGCCTTCAACTTTCGCCTGCAACTTGCATGCTGTGTCAGGGGGCCATCTCAGAAGGAAGGGCCGGCGCGGGTGCGGCGTCGGTCCAACAGGGAGGGCCGCATCGGCGAGCTGGAGGCCGGCAATTAGATTCAGATTCCGTCCAGTGTTGCATCTGATGTCCTGGAGGAGGCGGTCGAGGAGTTGGAAGGCGAGATCAGCCGCCTGAACAACGAGACAGAGGCTGGGATCGCGGAATGGCATGGTTGCAGGATGTTCAGATGATACTCATTTTCAGGATCGGGATGCCGCGGCGGTGGAAGCCAATGAGCTTCAGGGGCAAGCGATGGAGGTACCGCCAGTGTGCTCAGGGGATTGTTTTGTGTTGTTTCATGTCCTGCTCCTTGGGCAGGAGCTTCAGGCGGAGATGGAGGTTCGTCTTGTTCGCATTGGCTTTGGACTTCGGATCTAGTCCTGGGGCAGGCGATGAAGAACAGCTATGAGATCCAGCTGCAGGTTCGGCGTATTCACGTTCGCATTGGGAGTTCCCTGAATCCTCGCATGTCATGGGTCCGTGGGCAGGAGCAGCAGGACATCAACGACAAGAATCTCCAGGCATTGGCGTTGGAAGTTCCCTTAATCTGATCGCATGTCGTGGCCCTTGAACAGGACATGAAGCAGAGCTTCTTGGAGCAGACCCAGGTTCGGTTTCTTCGTATTCGCGATTGAATTCCCAGCTATCCCTGGCGGAGGCCATGGAGAGAGATCAGGCCGTGCTCATCCAGGTCGCCTGGACTGCTAGGTTGGCTGATCTTCGATTTGAGATTGTGGGCGTCTGCCTCAGGAGCTTGAGGCCGAGCATGAGAAGGCCATGCAGAAGAAGGAGGATGAAGTCTCAGCCAAGTACAAGGATCCTTCCGGGCTTTTGGACTTGTGCACAAATGCTTTCTCTTAGCTAAGTTCTTCTTCGCAGGAGAAGTTGGCGAGCATGACCGATAGTTTGCGTGATGCCGTCTGGTGCAACAAGGAACTATATAGGCGGCTCAACGAGAGGGCCCAGGAATAGGAAGGTTCAGGCAAAAAGAGGAAGGCCTCTTAATCTAAGAAACAGACAGTGCTCATCTCAGCTCAGCACAGCTCAACACAGCTCAACAACGACAACAACACACAGCTCACCACACAGCAGCAGACAAAAAAATCCAAGGGTGCCGTCCTCGACCTCGAAGGGTAGTTTTGCCTTAAGTGGCCGCAGCGCTCGTGTCGAGCCTCCTTGGAAAAAAAAAGAGTGCTGCATCACTTTGTGACTGAGACCTTGAGATCAGCTTATGCAGTGCATGCCGATGATTTGATTGGGTCGCTAAGGCGTGATCATCCCTTGGATCATTGCAGCCGGGGGCCTGGTCAGTGGCCACGTTGTGATTTGCTGGGTACGGGGAGCACCTTGAGCTTATTAGTGCATAATGCTGACTTGGGAATTTGAGAGGTGCGGTTTGGGTCGCTATCATGTCGGTACTCCGGAATTCCAGAACCTCGGGTTCTCGGCCACCTTGTGTTGCATTCTAGGGCCTCGTGTCGGCATCCCACATAGACGATCTATTTCTTAGAAATTGTCGTCTCCCATGGATCCCAAACACATCAACGTCACCTCATTGAGGCGGCCCATGATTGCACGTGCGGCGATGGCAGCGTGAGGAAGGCGGGAATCGAGTGTAGTGCCGAGCTGAGTGGATCACGGGCAGAGTCAGGGATAAGGGTTTAGTTAGGGTCAGGGTTATTGTAAACTTAAATGAAGGCTGTTCAGCGTGGTATCGATATTACGCCCTAAGCTTCTGAAAGTGTTTTTTTGCATGAATAGCTTAATCCATTCATTTCAGTTGAAGTAGTAGCCGCATATGGCCTCGTCAACACGGCCGCATGTGTCAGGGTTCTTGCGCTGGCAGTGGTTGCCGACTCTAGATTGATCGCGGGGAATTGGATTGTTGACGATGCTAAGAAGATCATGCTAGACTTAGACGTTTGCACCACGGTAATGAGGTTCAGTGGTGTGTGCAGAGGGTGTGTCATCCGTGAATACGAATAACTGTGCTAGGTGTGGTGAAGCATCAATGATCTAGGCGGGCATCGCTGCACAAGCGATGCAAATTAGCAGCACTGCAGAAGTGCTGCACTGCGACTCACCGTGCAACCAATTACAGACTTCTTCTGTGACTCAAAGCAAGACGAAAGCTTTGCCCGAAGCTAATTTTGGAAGCTCAGCCCAAACCCGACGCACAAGCTTTGTGCAGCCCTGTCTGTGGCCACAAGCAAGCCTGCAGGAAATGTGCTCGCCGACTCGCTTTCTAATTGCCAAGAACAGAAAACGAAAATCAAAAAGACATTACTAATTACAGCACCCATGAGGGGACGTTCCCCGCACAGGTTTTGAGCATGCTCTAAATTCCCAACAAGATCCCTTGCACAATAGCTGCTCGGCACTCTCTGGCTTGGCACCCGGGCATAGACCGCACGCAATTTGTGCAAGCCTCTCTTCTCCGAAGCAAGGATGTTTCAAGCGGGCCTCACTGCACAGGCAATGTAGACGAGCAGCACTGCACAAAGTGCTGCATCTGACTTAGGGTGAAAGGTGTTTACTTCCGGATGATGTAGTTTCAACTTTGGTTAACTCCTGAGATAGTGCAGAAATCCTGTGACGTGCAGGCCCTTAAGCCGTAGGAAAGCAGCCTCAACCTTGCCTGAGCAGATTTCATGCGGAGGCTTATTTCCCAGGCTTGCGCAAATTGCGTGCGGTCTCTGCCCGGATGCCAAGCCAGAGAGTGCCGAGCAGCTATTGTGCAAGGGATCTTGTTGGGAAATCAGGGCATGTTCAAAACGTGTGCAGGGACCGTGCCCTCGCGAGTGCTGAGCTGTAGTAGTGTCTTTTGATTCTGTTCTTGGCAATTAGAAAGCGAGTAGGCGAGCACATGACCTGCAGCCGTGGTGGTGGCCACAGACAGGCCTGCACAAACCTTGTGCGTCGGGTTTGGGCTGAGCTTCCAAAATCAGCTTTGGGCAAAGCTTTCGTCTTGCTTTGAATCACTTACTTGCTTGCACGTTCAGCCGAAAGTTTGTCTGAACAGATTTGCTGCGGAGGCGAGGCGGCGAGGCTTCCACAAATCGTGTGCGGTCTCTTCCCGGATGCCAAGGCCAGCGAGTGCCGAGCAGCTATTGTGCAAGGGATCCTGTTGGAAATTCAGGGCATGCTGAAAACCTTTGCGGGGACCGTGCCCTCGTGGGTGCTGTATAGTAGTAATGTTTGTGCTGTTATCTGTTCTTGGGAATTAGAAAGCGACAGGCGAGCACATTTCCTGCAGGCTTGGTTGTGGCCCCACCCGTCTGCACAAAGCTTATGCGTAGGGTTTCGGCTGGGCTTGGCTTCCAAAATAACTACTCTTAGACAGTATGGGGCTCGAAAGGCATTCTAGTCTTACTTTTAAAGCTCGGCAGTCGCTACCTTGCTTGGCCGTTGTTGTTTTGCAGCGTTTTGCTTCAGCTGTAGGGTTTATCTTGTGACCTAGCCCCGGCGAATGCTTGGCAATGCGAACAGCTTTCCGGGCAGTTTCAGACCAATAGACTCCTTCTCGAAGGCGTCACTCTGCCAGCAGAACAAACTAAACAGACTATCATGGCTAAGTGTCCGTTGTCAGTAAACCATGTCGAGGGGGCGGTGCCGATCGCCGGATGGACAACATGCCGTGAGATGCATTGAAAGATACGGTTCTGCTAGCCTTGCTGTTGCCAATTGCAACCGTTGCAAATGGTTGAAGCATTGCTCACGATGGACTTCCAGATGCACCTGGCTGGAAGAGCAGCCGGACAAGCAGAAGCCGTGGGGTCTGGGATGCCGGCATTGTTCTTTATCGCGGAATGCAGAGACATCAAGCTCCTGCTGGAAACACCATCTTAAAGGAAGTTCCGGTATTCTGCAGATCAAAGACCTACTGGATCATGCACGATCTCCTATGCATTTCAAGGCAGCGGGTTTGGAGTTGGCTTCTACTCCTGAGGAGAGAAGCACAGATCTGGCAGCGGATGTACCAACTGCCGGGCTCATTCGTCTAAGCCTCGAAATAGTTCGGTGTCCACTGGGTGCGCAAGGCGAGGAGTTTCAGAGAAAAGCTGAGTTGGCAAGCCGTGGCGACAGCCGGAACTTCCCAGCAGCTTTTGCCATCAAATACCAGCACAGCCGTATCGTGAAGTGTCTCGCGGATGTGTTGTCCCTTAGCTTAACCCTAGCTAAAGGTACCAGATGAGGTTTTGGGTGCTTCCAGATTTCCTTCGATATGTGGCCCCGCTTCTCAATCCAAGGTTTCAGATGGATAGGGACCTCATCGACAAAAAGAAGATCAGAGCTGCCGGCTGGGCAGAGGCTGGTTACTAGGGTCCGATCTCGCAAGTTGCTGTTCTTAGTTCTTTTTTGCCAGGATGTCGCTGACGGTCTGTCCCTTGTCAAGCTGAAGATGTGCACAAAAGATTACGACGTCATCCATCGCTTGGCAGATCTCCGGGATACCCAGGGCCAGAAGGTCTCGTGATTGCGATTTGCTTCTGGTTTGGCGACTAGTAGCACCCCAAAACCTGAGTCTTGTCCTGTGCCCAGACAGCTATATCCAAGCTGAAACATGTGAACGACACCATCCGCTTCTGGGGAGAGCCATTGCGTCCCCTCATCCAGGCCGGTTGTCTCGGCACATGCAGCAGCAAGTGTCCTGCAGACTGTGGCTACTGCAGGCTTGGACGAGCGATGGCGAGCCTGCAGAATTGCTCTGTCCTAGGTTGGCCAAGGACACACTTGCACCAGAGGAAGCTAGCACAGACAGAATTGTTGTGAGCTCGATGGGTGGCCTTGCCAGGAGGACGGCGTCCTTCCGTCTTTGCTGTGTGTCCTGAGATGCACGGCACATGCATCGCAGAAGGCGCTAGAGCGGGCCATGTTGACCAACGTGGAGGTCAAGGAGCTTCTTGATACTTTGGTTTTCAACTTCGCCTCGGGCAAGCATGACAGAGGCAGCCTAGCACGGGCATTGACCAACAGTCCAAAAATGCATGGCATGCTGAAAGAGGAACTGAGCAAGGACCTCAATCAGCTCTACGAGCTCTCGTCTCAGAGTCATTCTTCAGCTGGGTCTTTTCATTTTGCTGCCCAGCGGTGGGACTCCACCCTGAAATGCCTGAGAATCTTCGCTTTGAGGATGAGTGAGATCTTGAGTTTGCTTGCCCGTGTTGCTGCAGACAAGACAGACCAAAATCAGAATTGGGCCAAATCTATGTTGAACTTCCTCAGCATGGACCGTATTATCCTTCTTTGCTTGTGCGTGGAGTTCATGGAAGTCGCCTCACGGTACGTGCATGCCTGCGACAATCCCGGGGGATCTATTAAAGCCAGCTCTGCGAGCAAAGCGGCAAGCTCATTGCCCCGGCGTATAGCTCAGCTTGCCTGCACCGCATCCAATCTGCGTTTGCGACTAGATCAGCTCTTCTCCTTTACTTTCCAGGGCGTCAAGCAGGTGCCACTGGTGATGGACGAACGTTTTGAGAAGGGTTATGTGCAGATCGTCACCAAGGCTCTCAGCCTTGGTCTCGTGCCGATGAGATAGTACAGCCAAATCTGATTTCTGATTTTTCTGCGGTAAAATCATTAACGGATGCTGGTTTGGATTTCTGCGAGATTTCAGAAACCCTTTCATCCAGGGCAGAAGTCCTTCTCGGTCATCGCGGGTGGCAAGCTCTTGTACCATTTGCAAGGCCGGATTTTCAGTGTTGGTGCAAACACATGGGCTGCGTCTTGCCGCATTCTGCTTGCAAGACTAGTGGATGCCCAGCATCTTCCTTCTAAGGCTATGGGGCGGAGAGGCTTCGCAAAGTGACCGCGGAGAAGCTCGGTATCCTGTGGAACATTCAGACTCTCTTCCTGCAGGGCGTTTGGACGGAAAATGAGATCGGCATCGCTTCTGGGTTCTCCCCGTTTGATGTCGGCTCATGGCTCAAAGAGAACAAGGACGATGCATCTCTGTGACTTGGCAAGCCCAAACACACAACACGTTCTTTTCCAAGTATCTTTGCGAGCCTGTCCCGCAGAAGGCCTGCGTTGCTTGAGCCCGTGGCCAAAGTGGTGGGGGTGCAGGCCTGTGCAGAAGGGTTTGGTTATGTTGTTCTGGCCTTCCAACTGATTTTTGATGCGGAGGCCGATGCCTTGGCCAAGGAGTTGCAGTTGGCACGTCCCACCGTCCAAGCTCTTCTCACGTAGCGTCCCCAGACTCATCTCTTTGCCTGATGTTATTATTGGTGCAGACTACTGATGTGTCCTTGCTGAGGCAAGGCAAAACAGACCCCTGCATTTACTGGAGAGATTGTTTGCAGCACTGGGGCAATGGCAAGAAACTGCCTACCCTGAGCAAAGCCGACTTTCGCCTGCAACTTCAGACTTCTTGTAGCTACATGACCTGCTGGGACCCTCGTTGTCAGTTGCTCTGGCAAGGTGACGTTCATGGATGTGGCGTGGGAGAGTTCAAGCGAGATTGAGCAAACATTCTCGATCCTTCGGCTCTTCTCATCCGGGAGAAAGGCTGGTACGCAGACGGATTTGTTGAGGGCATTGTGCAAGGTCATCTCTGATGCACCTACTCCTCAAGATCTTGCTCCATTCACACGAGCAGGCTCCTCATCGCCTGAGTACACCGTCACCGACCTCGTACGAAGGGTTCAGCAGAGATACAGAGAGGTCCATGGATCTGCTGCCAATCGTCCCAAAATCAAAGGTGAATCTCGGCTTCCAAGACGCAATCTGGTTGAGCGAAAGAAGGACAAGGGATTCGCGGCCTTGCAGCGTAACAGGGACGAGCAAGCGGCAGAGCTGGCGGCAAGCACGAAACCTGTATCTGCCGCGACATTGGATGCCATGGAGTCCGAGACGGCCAAGGCGTCGAAGCAGGCCATTGGAAAGAAGCATGTGTCTTTGCAGCAAAAGCTTGAAGCGAAAGCTTCGCTGAAGAGGAAGCTCATGGAAGCTTTGATCGATGGCGACGAGGAGGCCCGGAAGAAGCTGAAGCTTGCTGAGAAAGAGGATGAAGACAGAGTGCCCTTGACCCGGCGAGACCTCCAAGCTACCACTGAACAACGGCTATTTCTGGACAAAAGTTTGGTCGCCATTATCTTGCTGGTTCCGAGCGAGCCCAGCAGGGCTGTGCAGAAGACACTTCAGAAGCTCGGTTCCAAGATGTACATCTTCAAACCTGAGGAACAGTTGCTGAATGCAACGTTGCGTTTCAAGCACTTGATATGGCTAGCATGCAGCAGCGACGACGAATCGGCAATCATCCATGGCAGACCTTCGGCATCTGGAAACATTTCCTTAAGCCACATCTTAATGTCAAGGATGTTGGGAGGCTTTCTGGCCGGGCCTGAATGGCTTGATTGTTGCTCTTTCACAGAGCAAGTTGTGCGGCCCGTCTTGGCTTTGCAACGCACAGTTTGCAAGAAGAAAGAGCTTTACGTTCACGGGAGCTGTTCTCTCAAATCGGACATCAAGCTGGCTCTTGATGCGGCATGCCGGCATGACGACGTGCGATGGCAGTGGCGAGAGTCGAGATCAAAACTGCCCCGAGCTTAGTAAGGGAACCAACTTCTTGTGGACTTCTTATGAATCAAACACATCATCGAATCATCGGCCCCAGAGTCTCAGGACCCAGAAAACAAGCTGGATGATCGTCGGCAGCTCCTATGACCCCAAGCTGGACTTGACACGTAAGGGCTCAGTGCTGAAGACAGAGGATTTCGTTCAGCAGATCACGAGGTGCTCCCTGTAACCCTCGACTGCATTCCATATTGATTTCGCTTGCCCAATCCTGGGTCAGGTTTGAGACACTGCCAGGGCTGTGAACGTGCAGACTTGTGCGGAGGAGTTTGCCCAACAACAATTAAACCATTAATAATATGCATGATTTGGACAGACAGTCTTAGCATCCGAAGGACGTACACGGCGGTGACCGGCGGCGACGACAGACGTGCGTGATGTGATGTTTCACAGAAGCTGAATAAAACAGCTTCCAAGAGGGTTTGGGCCGGAGCCACAGCAAGTATCACCTGAACATCCTGAATATCTTAGTCTATGGACGTGCTGTTGCTTGTCGCGAGAGACTTGCTGTGTTTCGACAGAATCGCCAGTGGACGGATCTATGGGGTGCCCGGGGTCTTGCAGTTCCACAAAATGTCTTTGGGAGCATATCATCAGATCCGAATAAAATGCATAGACTTCTCCGATGATTCCTTGCGTCAGGCAATTCACGGCGAGTGTTTCCTCGACTGCAACTACAACGTGCAGGTCGGTCCCGGTGTGTGTGTGTGTGTAACCAAAATATAAGGATTCGGTTTGCTGACGTGATCCGAAACCCTGCACATGCGTAGGGGTCTTCAGGGCATACAGGGATATAGGCCGTCCACGGGACGTCGTGCAGGAGCGTACCTGTTTCAGGGTGGGTACAGGTGTGCTGGGCTTGGCTCGAAGACTCTAAAGCGACATATCAGCTTCTGAGTTCCACCCTTGAATCCTCAAAGTTTTGAGGTATGGTTTAGCGGCTCATAGTTCCATGATTTACAGAAATAATGAAACCCTGAATCCCCCATTGAAAATCAACATCCTTGACCCTAACCCCGCAGAGAGCCGTCTTAGAGTAGACCAGCTTGATCTAACCGACACCCGCCGATTGCTGGAGAGTACCTTCAAGTGTAGCACGAGACCAGCCACACCCATCACAGCAAGGTCGACTTGTTTCCGAGAAGATCGCGCTCTTTTTCTGTCCGGGCCTGACGTCGGTTTGCTGCGACTGCGACTCCTTGCTCGATAATCATACTGTGATAGTCTTTCTGGTAACCCTGTCAGGCAGACACCGTTGGTATCCAGCCAGTATCCTTCAATTGCTGCTTGACACCTTGAAGTGTAGCACGAGACCGGCCACACCCATCGCAACAAGGTCGACTTGTTTCAGCGACGACCCTGCTCGTCTTCTGTCCCGGCCTGACATCGGTTGTGTGCGGATTCCATTGCTCGCTGTTCAGAGTCTTTCTATCTTCAAGTGTATCCGTCTCGGCTGACCCCAAGACGCGGAGCCCAAATATTGTGGATAATAGCAGAAATCCGGCCTCTAATTTTCCATGGGACAACAGGAAGAAGAGCAGACATATGACCACCTCCGGAGGAAACACAAGTCGCGGAAGAACATTTCAAGGATTTCACAGTGGATCCAACGCACAATTTTCATAAAGTTTCGGCGACTCCCTTATGTGTCGGGGGCCGGGCCCGAACGCACAAAACCCATGGTTTGGACCTTTGCGTTGAGATTTCTGTGAAATCGGCCTTGTGCGTTTCAACGTTTTTCTTAACGCAAAGGTCCAAACCGTAGGTTTTGTGCGTTGGGGCCCGGGCCCCGACGCACAAGGGAGTCGCCGAAACTTCATGAAAATTGTGCGTTGGATCCTTGGGCCCCAGGACACATCAGGCTTGCGCCTCGGCTGCCGGAGAACAACTGCGAGCAATTGCTGCACACACTTATAAGCTGCTCAAAGTGTTGTCTGGGAAAAGGTTGCGCAAATCTTGCGCAACTTGCGCTCCACGCACCAAATCTGCACAAACTGCACGCTGGATTGACACGGGTGTTCTGGGTATGTGTGCGGGAACTGCGCGCGGAGTGGCCTGCACAGATTTGGCGCAAGCTCGGCCTTCAGACATTCACGGGGCTGCACGAATCGTGCGCAAGTTCTGTGCGGGGATTGTTTTACTCATACACAGACACACGTTGTGCTGCTCGAAGTGTATTCTGGAAAGATCTGCGCAAATCTTGCACGAACTGCGCTCCGCGCAGATTCTGCACACATTGCGTGCTGGATTGACATGTCTGTTTTGGGAATGTGTGCGAGAACTGCGTGCGGAATGGCCTGCAAAACTTTTGCGCAGTCTCTGCCCTCCGCATTGATGGGTCTGTTCAAATGGTGCGCAAGTTTGGGGCTCGGATTGTTGTAATTACTGTACGTCGTTCGCGAAATGTCTGTCTGCTGGTTAGATTCAGAGACATCGTGCACGCACCTTGCCATTTGGGTCGTCAGGTGCCATCATTCTGCACAATTTCTGCATTGAATTGTGTCTGCAGGAGGCCGTTCGGAAATGTTCGTGTGACAGGGGTCCTAGATGCCATGCTGTGTCCAGGCGACACAGCTCTGCCTCGCCCTCGGCCGTGTCCTCGGTTCCCAGCTTGCGTGTGGAGCCACAACTGGTCTGTCGCTTTGCTGACTTTGCCTCTACTTTGCAGCATGGCTTCCTGTCCCTTGCAAGATTCTGTTCAATTTTTCACAGGAGTAGTTGCCGGTGTAGCCCGGCTCCAGACCCCTGCGCTGCCATGGCGCCCAAGACCAGGAAGTCCTTGGGCAAAGCCTCTGAGACAACACCCAAGAAGGCGACAGCCAAGGATGCCTCAGGCAAAAGCACAACGCCCTCGGCGACTCATCCAACTGCTGCTTCGTTGATGTTTGACTACTATATATATATATATATTCATAAACCACATACATACAGATCTAGATATGCAGTGACAGAACTATGTGCAACCCGTATGCTGTAAGATGAGTATATACACGGCAGCTAACTTGATTCAACTGACATGACAGTTTCATGAACAACATTGCTAAAGCTAGTAGGTGTGGACCACGAGAACACAAAATACGAGTCCTACTAATATTTCTTGTGATATGACTGCTAATGAGAGTTCCTGTGAGAACAGCAAGAAGATCAGCAAGATTGACACTAAGCAATAAGGCAAAGAATCATATGCCGACTAACAATATCACTGGTAACAGCGATCAGAATGGGGTCAGAAGCAAAGCCAGCAGCAGCCATTGTAACGAGAAGAACAACAAGAACAGCAACATGATCAACTTTGAGATGATTTCAACAGTTCCACTCTCAGTGTCCACAGTTAGGCATGAGCAAACTGGTCATGGCATCAGCAAACTGGCCATACGTAGTTACAGAGTGGAAACGCCCTTGAAAACGGCTAGACGGTTTTTCTTGTGCATGTACACGTCTGCATGTCTTTAATATATATGTATATCTGCATAAGCATATGTACAAAGTTGTCCAATTACATACAATCATACATACATATACATACATACATACAAGCATACACACATACATACATACATACATGCAGACAGACACACATACATACAGACATTCATAGACATATACATTCGTTC